TGTGCCCATTTCAAAGAGAGGTGACCCAATGATAATCATCAGACAAAATCATTAATATCACATATAAGCAAAATTTTCCTAAATATAATTGAAAAACAGCTACACCCGTGCACTGACAGGGAACTGCTAGAGGTTCAAGCTGGATTCACATGAGGACACAAAAGAAAGGATATCACTGCTGACATCAGATGGATCTTGGTAGAAAGCAGAGAATATCAGAAAGATATTTGCCTGTGCTTGATAGACTACACAAAGACTTTTTATTTTGTGGATCATTACAAGTAATGGACAACATTGGAGATAATGAGTATTCCAGAATACTTAATTGTGCTCATAAGGAATCTGTATATAGAGCAAAGAGGCAGTTGTTTGAACAGTAGGGACACTGACTGGTTTAAAATTAGGAAAGGTGTGCACCAGGGCTGTATTCATTCACCACAGTTAATCAATCTGTATGCTGAGCAAATAATCCAAGAAACTGGATTATATGAAGACCAATGTAGCATCAGGATTGGAGGAAGACACATTAACAACCTGCGGTATTCAGATAACACATCATAGACACCGAGACCAGGAAGTACAAATAAGGGTGGAAAGGAGTTAGATGCCACCTAAGGATTGCCAAGGAAATGAGGAATCCTGAAGCTTTGGAAAATGAAAGGAACAAGGAGTATCCCCCAGAACTGACACACAGAGAGCTTTCTCTTAGAGCTATTGCCCTGATTCGACCTTCTGGTCTCAGGAACTGTAAGAAAATAAATTCCTATTCTTCAAAGTCATGTCCTTATGGTCTATATGATCGGCCACACTGAGTAACAGTTGCTGCTAGATGCTGGCTTAGTTCTCCAGTGCTGCTGTAACAGGAATACCACTAGTGCATGACCTTAACAATTTTATTCTCTTACAATTTAGGATGCTAGAAGACCAAATTCAGGGCACCGGCTCTGGAGAAAGGCTCCTGTCTCTTCAGCTTCTTAAGGCCCAGCATTTCTTGGAGATCTCCATGGGTCTTAGGATCAATCTCTCCCTGGATCTAGGAGTTTCACAGTATAGGGTACCCCAGGTCCAAGGAACACACTCCACTCCCGGCTCTTCTTTCTTGGTTGTAGCACTTCTTTTCTGAACACAGCTTGTTTGTTTAACGTCTTTTATGTTCCAAAACAAAGTGACTCAAGGTAAAGCCTATTCCTGTAGACTGCATCGGGCTTCATTAACAACCCAGAAAGTGAGGCTTTACAACATATAGGATAATTACACCAGATCAGGGCTGATCATATCAGATCACACCACGGGGGGTGGGGGGTGGAACTGCATCGTATTAGATCTCATCTCTGAAGGGATTACTACATCTTAACTTCTAAACCACTGAAAATACCGGCCTAGTTAAGTTGACACAAAAACCTTAACTATCACAGATACCATTAAGTACATTTTGACTTATAGCACCCATGTGACAGAGCAGAACTGACCATAGGATTTTCAAGCTTGCAATTTTTACGGGAGCAGATGTTGTTGTTCTTGTTGTTGTTGTTAAGTGTCACCGAGTAGATTCTGACTCATAACTACCCTTATAGGGTTTCTGAGGAGCAGCTGCTGAATTGGAACTTCCAACCTTTGTGGTTCAATACGACCTTGCGGTTCAGTGCATTATCCTGCAGAACAACATCTGGACTCCATGGAAGCAGACAGACAGGAGTCATTGTTGTTGTTATGTGCCTTCGAGTCAGTTCCGACCCCTAGCGACCCTATATAGGGTTTCTGAGGAGCAGCTGGTGAGCTTGAACTGCTGACCTTGCAGTTCAAACGGCTTTGCAGTCTGGTGCATTACCCCACAGCACCACACCAGGACTCCAGCACAGTCACTGGGTGGGCTCAAATTGCCAACTTTTCTGTTAACAGCTGAGCACTGAACAGTTGCGCCACCAGGACTCCTTATGAGATAACTAAGAGATTAATAATCCCAAACTATCAACAGGAAGTAAGAGTTCAATAAATATAAATTACACTGTTTCTATAACATTGCCATGCCTCTATCCTGAAGCATGGAATTTTTAGATACTTTAAATCATTCATTCCCTAGCTTTACACTAAACTTCATATAAGTAGGTCTACCCTTACTGACCTTTCCTTAAAGAGACTATCAAAGCTCAGGGGAAATAATCAAGGAGTAGTGCAAAGCTATTTACTGAAAACGCTTTTTTCTAAAATAAGTTTAGAAAGCAGAAAACAATATGAATGTTTCATTTTTCTTTGTTTCCCATTTTCAGAGCTTTCTAACCAACATAGCTTAGAGCCCTTTTTTTGCATACAATAGGTTCCAGGTGTGCCAAGCTGCTGATTCACCTTAACCCAAAGGTCAGTTTAGTAGGACCTAGACTGGCCAGCCCCTACAGGGATGGGTGCTTCTGACCTCATACTTTAATATACTATACACACAACACTCTCATTGTCTAGGTACACTATGATGTGAAAAAGAGTAGCATTACTTATTTGGTACTGTTGTTGTTACGTGCCTTGGAGTTGACTCCGACCCATAGCGACCCTGTATAGGGTTTCTGAGGAGGGGCCGGTGAACCTGAACTGCCAATCTTGTGGTTCAAACTGACTTTGCAGTCTAGCACATTAACCCACAGCATCACACCAGGACTCTTCCAAAATAATAATGGCAATAAAGCCAAATTTACTTACTTAAAGTATTATATAGACCAAAAATTAATTCACATGCATTGTGTTCATTTTATTTTCAGCAAAATCATGAGACATCAATAATCAATAATTATGCTTCTTATAAAGGTTCAAAGATGCTGAGTGATTTACCCAAACACGTGTGCACATGCACAATACAAACACATTAGGAAGTGGCCGAACTAGAGGTTCTCGAATCTAGATTTCTGCCTTCAAGTCCTAAGCTTGCTCTTAGACACCTTTCTGTATGATGACATCCCAAGTTTTCATAGATCTTAAGCATTTTGATTTCATTCTCTGAGAACGTTCAAATGGCTTTCCTTTGTTTTCTCTGTGACAACCATACAAATACTAATGCATATGGAAGGAGAGAGTTTTAACTGAGAAAGACTGAGAACGCATAACCGCTAATGGGCATATTCAGGCCAAACTAATTTTCTTTGTACAGTTCCCCATATCCGTATTCATAGAGAGCTAACCCCTGTTAATTTTATTTTGTATAAGTAGAAAAGAGAGCTTTTCTACAATGTGTGTGGGGGTGGGGGTGAGGGAGTGTTTTACTGGGAGGTCACTTATTACCCTAGGTGTAAACTAGGCAGAAACATATGCTAATATCATAGACTAAAACGTCTCTGAAATTTTAACTTATCCTAAAATTTCCATAATCTTTTAACTGTCAACCTCAAGAATTACATATTTTCCTGTAATAAGCATGAATACACAAAAGTGTTTTTAAATGTCAAATCATATTTAAAAGCAAGAAAATGCACTATCCTGAGCAATTATAAATACAGAAACTCATAAAGCATGAAATGTTGCGTCAATGAACACCTTGAGTGAATATTAAATGAACAGTCTTATAGCATTGCTTTAATTCCAAAAACAGTATCACAGCATATGAATGATACAATAAAGCTATCCACATAGGCTTGGCTAAAACACACTATCCTTGTTGTCTGTTTCTGAAATGATGCATTGAGAATAACTCCCAATTAAACTTTCCTAGATTTCAAATTTACTTTGAATCAAAACACAGTTCTAAAGACTATAAACTGCATAAAATCTTTATGTCAATATTCAATTTAATCTAAACAAGTACATTTAATCACATAAGTATAATGCTGTATTTAATGAAATGCGAACAAAATCCACAAATTTCTCTTAAGTAAATTTTAATTTGGCAAGCAGGTTCTACACTTAAGCAAAGAAACATTTCATTTCTATGGAAACTTCACTCAGTTTCCATCTTGCTAGGGTTTCATGTTCCATAACCCAAAACAGAGAAGGTCAGCAGTGGGACAAAGCAAAGCGCACGTGCATGTGCATGAAATGCTTCAGTTTAGTCACAAGGCCAGCTTCTGAAAAATCAAAACACTCTCCCCAGGAGGCTCGACAGGGGACAGGATGAAACATTGGAAAGTACATAATCTGCCTCAGTTGAGCCTTCCTGAAGAGAGAAGTCTACACACACCTGTACAGCCCCTTCAGGCTCCCCCAACACACTCACATTCCATCAATAATGGAAGGAAATGGTACGTCCAAGATTTTAAAGTACTTAAGTTTGCATATATATGATTTATTAACTTCTCACAAACAGACACTCTCGCTCAATCCATATAAATGGAAAGTAGCTTTACAAAAATATAAATAACAATATTGAATTTGAAACAAAATAATACAGACTAATGCCTCCAATGAGTTCTATCTTAATTCACACTGGAAATGAAAATCGGTAGATTATATGATATTTAAATATTTACCCCCTATTAGCATAGTCTACTTCACAAGGATGTTTGAGTATTATTTGATAATACCAATGAATTCAAATTCAAGATGAAATACAAGAAGCCAAAATGAGTAACTACTCCTGAAGACCCAAATTTTCAATCCTATATCATGATGTAATAGCTTAAGTAAAGGTTTCACTCTCTCTTTTTTTTTTTTTTTCTTTTCTGGTTGTTGTTTTCCTAAGATTGAAAAGGACAATCCTAAAGAGGATTTGTAAACAGAAACACTTTGAACAGAATGATCTACATTTTCTTTGTCCTTAAAAATAAAGAATGTCCTATGAGTACTCTCCTGTTTTAAAAAGCTTTTGATGTTGGGGAATATGAATTCTGACAGGTCATTAGAAGATCATTCCTCTACCACAACTAGAAAACACGAGAATTGTACAATGAAATCCTCTGCCCAGCTAAGGCTGCCTAGCATTCATCAGACCTCAAGATGGTTACTGCCTCTTCCTAAAACAGCCTTTCTTTTTTAACTGATTATCCATATCAGTGATATGTCCTCTTTCTTTGTTAAACACTCACCTGTGATTTTTTGCAGCAACGGTGACAATTCAGATTCCTCACAAATGACCTGAACCAATGCCTTCTTCACTTTTTCTTCAGCCTCACACACAGCTTTGTCCACTGTGAATTCCCCAGTGACAGAGTAAATGTATATCAAGAGAATGAATAGCTCATCAGGGCCATAGTCATCGCTGGTCCTCTGGTGAGAAGGCTTAATCATGGGCAGCAGCTGATTTAACACAACAGACATTGCTGACTCACCAATGCTCTGAAATAAGAGGGGACAGTATGAAAATATGTTGATCTTGTACAAAGATATAATTTATGCAGCAAATTAGTCCAAATGTATCTTACAAACAAATCTATAATGGTCAATGTCCTAATTGCTTTTATCTACTTGTTTCTTGTTCTCAAGGGAATACTGTAAATATTTGGTATTACAGTTCTTGTTTTTCCAAATACTTAGTTTATAAAATAGCTAATCAAATCAACCATCATCACTCACAGATGCAGCAATCGAGAAATCAAATGGTATATTGCATTAGACAAATCTGCTACACAAGACCTCTTTAAGGTGTTCAAGAGAAAAGATGTCAAATCATGGTATTTTCAGTAGCTTTATATGCATATGAAAGTTGAACATTGAATAAGAAAGACCATAGAAGAATTGATGCATCTGAGTTATGATGTTGAAGGAGAGTACTGAACGTACCATGGGCTGCCAAAATAACAAATAGATCTGTGTTGGATGAAGTACAGCCAGAGTGCTCCTTGGAAGCCAGGATGACCAGACTTCATCTCTCATACTTTGGAAATATCATCAGGAAGGACCAGTCACTGGAGAAGGATATCATGTTTGGTAGAGTGCAGAGAAAAAGAGGAAGACCCCCAACAACTGTGAGGTTGGTGCAGGACCGGGCAGTGTTTTATTCTGTTGTATACAAGGTTGTTATGATGAACAGGAAAAGGTAAAAACACTCACTGCTCTCTTCACCCAGGAGACATACTAAAATGATAATCAAGTTACTGAGTGGGACCAATCATCTCTGCCCAGGAGTCAAACTAGAATGTTAATCAGGTTACTGAATGGGACCAATCCTCTCAGTCCAAAAGTCAAACTAGAATGTTAATCAGGTTACTAAGTGGAACCAATCCTGTATCTTCAAACAGGTCTGCAACCTAACCCCTCCCTGATTCTGACCCGATATAAGTCTGCATTGCCCTATATTCCACACTCAGAATCTGGAGAAATTAGCTCCTCTGAGCCAGCCGACTTAATCAAATCTGAAACTCTGCTTCACCTCTCCAAGTGGCCTCGGTTTCTTCAATGATCAAGAGCTGCTATGACACTCTTTGGCCCAAGGCTGCTGTGACAGTCTCAAATCTAAAACTGCTGTAACAATGAGTTGGTACTGACTCGATGGCATCTAACAACAGTGAGTGTGTGAGAAGATGCACTATTTTAAATCAGGAAAGTTATAATAAGAAGGGAACCTATAATAAGAAGAAAGACCCATTGATGTTCTTTCTCTTCTTTCTGAATGATGTTGACATCAAGTAGCTGAATATGATTTTGTATTGGGAAAACTACCCAAAACAAGGTTTTCTACTCAAGCCAATTCCACACCTGGAAAATTTAAAATATATCATCTCAAGGTTAACGTTCACAATTATGCATGAAAAACAGCTGTTACCAATTATTTCCATTAAAATTTTTGGATGTTTAAAGATGTCCCACACAAAAATAAAATGCTAAAACTTTGGAATGAATCAGGAAATGTAGTAAGAACAGAACAGAGATTTTACTGTTAAATTATGACAAGACACGATTTACCTTGTATAAACAAACACTCTCTTGAAAAGGTGACTGTGGGGCTACAAAAAGGTTTGAAGGTCTAGGAAGCAAGTTGTTGGTAAGTGCCATCGAGTCAGTTCCGACGAAGAGCAAACCTGTATAGGATTTCCAAGGAGCAGCTAGTGGGTTTGAAACCCCAAGTTCTGCAGGTAAGCACTGCAGGGTAAGCACTGGACTGTGAACCACAAGGTCAGTAGTTCGAGTCCACCAGTCCTTTTGCAGAAAGATGAGGCTTTCTCCTACTGCAAAGATTTACAGCTCTGAAAACCCTATAGAGGTTTGCTGTGAGTTGGAACCAACTCAATGACACATAACATTTGTAAAGATCCAATGACACTTGGCCATCAGAATTTCATTTTGGAGGTGTAGATATGAGAAGCAATGATAAAGAGCAAAATCCTTCATTAGTGGGTTTTACTGGCTGTTGTTGTTAAGTGCTGTGAAGTGAGTTCTGACACATAGCAACCCTGTTTCAGGTTTCTAAGGAGTAGCTAGTGGGTTTGAACCACTGATTTTGTGGTTAGCAGCTCAGTGCTTATCCTACAGCACCACACCATGACTCCTTCTACTGGTTAGGTAAAAGCTATATACACTAATTTATAAAACTGCATTCTAAATCTGCTAAATATATCCCAGTAAGTAAATAATAATTGAATATGAAACCAATAATACCCCAAAGTCTCAAATTTTTACTGTCTTCTCCCTGTTTTACACATTACCATTTCTGATGGAAAGCAGCAATTAATAATCTCATTGTTAACTACACAAGAAAATATGAATGCTTAGAAAAGGAAAACCTTACCATAAATTGACACAGATAGATACAGAAATAATTATAAATACATGTGTAACATGAATGAACTGGCTATTTCTGTTTATGATTATTTTGGTTATGATTGTTGTTGTTATTGTTAGGTACTATAGCAACCCTGTGATAACAGAACCAAACACTGCCCAGTCCTGTACCACCCTCACAACGGTTATTTGACTCCTTCATTGTAGCTAATATATCAGTCCACCTAGTTGAGGGTCTTTCTCTTTTTTGTTGACCCTCTACCTTATCAAGCATTCTCCAGGGACTAGTGCCTCCTAATAGTACCATGTCTGAAGTACAAGGGACCAAGTCTCACCTTTGTCATTTTAAATGAGCATTCTGGCTAAACTTCTATTTTTCTGGCCTTCCACGGTATATTTAATATTCATTGCCAACCCCAAAATTCAAAGGCATCAATTCTCTGATCTTCCTTTTACATCAAGCAGCTTTCATATGCATAGGAGCTAATTAAAAATACCATGGCTTAGGAGCTCTGGTAGAGTAGTGGTTACAAATCGGGCTGCGAACCATAAGGTCAGCAGTTCGAAACTACCAGCGGTTCTGCGGGAGAAAGATGAGGTGTTCTGCTCCAGTAAAGATTAACAGCTTCGGAAACCCTGTGCAGGGTCACTATGAGTCGGAACCGACTCCACGGCACATAACAACAACAACAATGGCTTAGGTGAGGCACACCTTAGTCCTCAAAATGACATCTTTGCTTTAAAGAGGTTTTTTGAAGCAGATTTGCCCAATGCAATATGCCATTAGATATCTTGACAGCTGCTGCTTCCATGAGCACTGAATGAATATTCTCAACTCTATGGCGAGAACCCAGGCAAACAAGGGGCTTGAAAAAGTTCACGGAAAAATTCCAATATCCTTTTTTCCCATTTTTCCACAAACTTTTTGAAGCCCTTTATAGGGATACGCCTGTATCTGACTATTTCTCTGCTATTCATAGGAATACTCCTGCTAAAGCAAATGGAAGAAGTCCAAGAGCTGAATAGAAAATTTCAAAGATCAACTCGAGAAGATAAAGCCAAATACTACAATAAAATATGCAAAGATTTGGAATTAGAAAACCAAAAAGGAAGAACACAGTCAGCATTTCTCAAGCTGGGAGAACTGAGGAAAAAATTCAAGCCTCGACTT